CATTCGCATTAAACACAACCACACACAAATTATTCAATTCGTACAAGCATTCACATAGGGTTTACAAACACCCAAGTGAAAGAAGGGACTACTTCATGCTAGGAGAAGGGAAAACACAAGAAGAAGGAAAACCATCAAAGAGATGCTAGCCTTGCTCCTTGTGTTGAAGAGATCCTCTTTTGGGGGAGGAATTCCCAAATCCTTGCTTGAAGATGAAACCCTAGCTTCTCCTCTTTTTTGGTTCGTCACTTTCTCACTCTAGAAATCTGAAGAAGAAGAAGTTTCTCACCCTAGGTCTCCCCCCTTTTCTCCTTTGGCTCAATCTCCTTTATATACCCTGATCGGGCTCAGTTCATGGTCTTAGTTCACGGCCGTGAACTGCAAGCAGGGATCGTGATCTCAAGTCGAAACGCGTTGCATCACTAAGTCCAGTTCACGGGCAATAGCCTGAGTTCACGGTCTAACGACCATGAACTGACTCGTGTCCAGTGAAAACCATTTGTGCTCTGGATGTCTGGCTGTTCGCGGGAATCGCCTCCAGCTCATGGTCTTAGTGACCGTGAAATCACAGGCCAAACCGTGATCTGCTGCTATTTCCAACGTTTGACTTGATTTTCCGCTCTTTCGTCCAACTTTTGAATCGGAGGTTGGTTCCACCTGCCAAGTCTGAAAACACCAAAACAAGGCACAATCCGGCATAAAACCAAACCTCTCAGAGTAAAAATGCTTCAAACGAATAAGAAAACCGGGGGTAAAAAGTGTACAAATTAGCCCGAATCGTAGAGCTGGCCATTCGATTTCTCGTTGGCGGTTGACCGATAGTTATGACCAAAATCCGACGGTTAACGGCTAGCCAATGGTCGATGAGGCATTAAAAGCAAAATGGGAATGCCTCGATGAGCGAATGCGGGTCATAGAAGGGGTTGAGTCATGCGAGACTACAGATGCAACACAACTATGTTTAGTCCTAGACGTTGTAATCCCACATAAGTTCAAAATGCCAGAGTTTGAGAAGTACAATGGTACTACTTGCCCAAGAACCCATCTAGTCATGTATTGCAATAAAATGGCCAATCACATTCGAGATGACAAGCTAACGAGGCACTGCTTCCAGGACAGTTTAAGTGGATCGACATCATGGTGGTATATACAACTTGAAAGATCAAGAATAAGAAGGTGACAAGACCTAGGGGATGCCTTTATAAAACACTATAGGCATAATCAGAATTTGGCCCCAGATAGAGAAGACTTATGTAACATGTAAAAGAAGGAGAATGAATTATTTTGAGAATATGCCCACAGGTAGCGAGAGAGAGCTGCAGATGTTCAACCTGCAGTATCGGAGAAGGAAATGGTGGGGATTAACACAAACAACTTTTCTGACTTATTGGTAATTGAGGAACAAATATAAAAAGGAATTAAGCAAGGAAAGATGGGAGATTTAGAAGCTCCTATGAGATTAAGTCATAACAAAAATGAAGGTGAAATTCATTCAACTCGAAGAGAAGCAAAAAGGGAAAGCGTGGAAGTGTCACTCCCAAAATGACCGAGCTTCCTCTTATGTTGCAACTACTACACCATTTCTTCAACCATCAAACTTCGCCAACCAACTAAAGATCCCGAATCCCACGTCATTGCCACGACAAATGGGTAATCAGGATTGAAGGGTCATGGGTAAACAAATGAGGGAATTGATCCTATCCCAATCACATATACCAAACTTTTCCCTCAATTGCTCCACGATTGTCTAATCACTAGGGTGAGACTCCGGAACCTCCATATCCAAGACGGTACAAATCTGATAGACAATGCGATTACCATTATGGACCTCCAGGACACTCGGTGGAAAGTTGTAACGCCATGAAGATACGAGTACAAGAAATGGTGAAAGTTGGGTCGTTGAAGTTCGAAGAAGAAGCTAATCGTCCAAATATCAACATGAACAACAGCCTACAGCCACGTTATGTGAATCAGTAAGCCCATCCCAAGGCGAGGCTTGACTAGAGGACGATGTTGATCATTGTATGAGATGCTTCACCATGTATAAGCTTTTTCCTTCCGCAAGAAATAAAAGACCATCCACTTTTTATTTATTTATTTGGAACATTGAGTGACCATTATCGATCTTGATTATGGGCTTTTCATCAATGATTGTTTTAAATGATGAAAATCTTTTCCAAATATTTAGAATCAACTTATCGTCTCTAAAATGGGAACCATAAAACTGTATTTCATTGTTTTCAAGTTAAGCCATGAGGTTTTCAATCAACAAATATAAGCACTTCATTGGTGTTGAGTGATTATAAAAATCCTAATGATGCATTAGAATATGAATACCCCATTGGTATTGAGAGTATGCACACATACTAGAGTTGAGAGAGTAAACACCCCACTGGTGTCCACAAATTGTATGAGCAAAATAGTCAAAGGGTGCAGTGGGGATACGACACCTGGCTATATGTAGAAGCTTGTCACTACCATAACTGATCCATGTCAAGTAGTCGAGTTATGACGCATAAGGAGCAAGGTTTTGACACCATGATAGCAAAGTTCTCATGGGACTCTCACGACTATATTGGGAAAGTTTTATAACCAATTTGACAAACCTAAGGAGTCGCATGCATAAAATGCTCATATTATCAGAGACAAAAACATCCCATTACCATCCAAATGTCTACATTCCCGAATCAGACTCGTGGGTATTCAAGCAAAAGAAGCATTCAAACAATACAACCCGACTTCATAAGCTTCACTTTTTCAAGAAAGGGAAGACAGTTAGCATGCCAACAAAAAGTCACTTGCGTCATCAAAATTCATTACCTTTGATGCTCATGCACAAGATCAGAAAAGTCAGTATGACAATAAGTATGGGGGTATACAAAGTCAAGCACATCCAAAAAAAAAAAATACAAGAAAAAGAAAAGAAAATTAAAAAGGTAAAAATAGAAAAAGTTGTGGGACTTTCACACTAGATACCCCTACACGATCACTTGAAAGTCAAAACTGTTCAAACTCATCATGAGTAAAAGTCACTGGTTACCTATGTTAAAAGGCCAAAAGGGTGATTTCGAGTTTACCTTCGACGTGGTCACAAAAGCACTGTACATGGCTCGTCTCTCAATTAGCAAGGTCTATTACACTCAAGTGTGGCAAGCCATCAAATTAGCCAGCTTTCCAAACCAAAGGGCATTTGTCTGCCATGCATGAAGAAATGACGTGAGAAAACCTTGATGAGAAGGATTCACAAGACAAGAATGTCGTCATCAGCTAAGAGGACGTCCCATGATCATCCTTATTCTAATCAAACTCCCGTTTTTAAGATAAACAAGACCTTCAACATTCATCACTTCAAAAGAAGTTCAAATCCGCATCACGCAAAGACCTCCTTTATCCATCAGTCAGCCTCATGCTTTGGGGGCAAGCCAAATCCCCCACAAGAAACTTTACACGACTAAGGATGAAAGTCTCATTTATCCATCACTCGTGTGGGAAAATTTAGATTCCCAAAACATGAGAAATCTTACAGTTGGAGTCATACTAAACAAGAGTCTCATTTCATAAAAGTGCAAGAACTTTCAGGGATTGCCCAAACTCTTCGTGATCAGTCTATACCCCAAGCACATTTTCCCATTAATATGGCGACAAGAATCTTAATAGTAGCTGAAATGTCATAAACTCAAAGCACCCATAGGAATGAGTGAGAGCGAGAATGAGAGCGAAGACTTATGGGTATTCTCATGGCTTGACTTATAAAACAACAAATTTTAAACAATGTGGCAATAACCACAAAAGAATTGTTTTTTGCTCAATTTGCACACACTTCTCACAAGCAAAGTTCTAAAATCTAGTTCCCATTATACTTTCTCAAATAAGAATTTTCGAACTTTTTTTCATTCATCTCAAGTCAAAATTGGTAAAAGTCACTCTTTGTTCCTGATATTAATATCTTTGGGGGCAAGAACGGTGCAACCCAAAGGAGAAGGAAGTTCACAATGACCATGAAGAGGATCTCTCTACCTTCAACTCGCAAGTAGACGGGTATATCTAAGAAATTTTGGATTACACACGATGTATTGAACCCAACCAGTCAGTCAAATTACCCATTCAGAGACTTTTCTAGAAGGGTGAACTCGATATACAGTGACTATCATACGAAGTGCAAACCTCAAGACTAGGCCCGTGAGACCCTAGATTGGCCACAAGAAAGCTGAGAGCCGGCACTACGATGGTGCAAAAGTGGTATAACATAGGAGATGAAGGATTTGAAAATTTCACCACTCAAACTACTCAAATTTCTCTCATCTCAAGATACCCCTTCAACACAGCATTTTACCTTCTGACGAAGTCAATCAAGCATCTCTAAAAAACCGACATCAACAAGAAAATACCCCGGGATGACAATACCTCTTAACCTAGCACGAATTCGATTATGTCGCAAGAAATGTCACCAAAGGGTGACCATCTAGCAAAGTAACGATATTCCAAATCCCGAGCCAACAATGATGTGTTTCCTAGAGGAAGAGTACATGTTGTCACACTTCAGATGAAGAAAGTACCCATCGATGGCACCAATGCTACTCCAATGTCAGCACAAATAAGGATCAAGTCTACTAAGGACTACGATGAGATTCCTCGTGGATGGACAATTTAAAGGAATTCAAAGAAAAACAATATATTGTCCAACTAAAACCAACACCTCATATTTTATCATTAGCATAACACTCATGACTCATCAATTTAGCACAAATCATCATACAGTTATTCCAAATGCACTTTGATATTTATCACATGATATCACCATGCATCACTCAAAATACAATCATTTCCAGAACCAAATATTCCCCGCGTTACACAGACGCTATAGAAAATTATGATTACCCCGTGTTGACAACACTATAAAAATCGTTAATTCCCCGTGTTGCACAGACGCTATAGAAAATTATGATTTCCCCGTGAAGACGAGCACTATAAAAATCATAAAACACCCCGCGTTACACAGACGCTATAGAAAATTGTGATTACCCCGTGTTGACAGCACTATAAAAATCGTTAATTCCTCGCGTTACACAGACGCTATAGAAAATTGTGATTCCCCCGTGCAGAAGCACTATAAAATTTGTAAATTCCCCACTTTACGCAGTCGCTATAGAAAATTGTGACTTCTCGTGCAGGCGGGCACTATAAAATTCGTAAATTCCTCGTGTTACACAGACGCTATAGAAAATTGTGACTTCTCCGTGCAGACAAGCACTATAAAATTCGTAAAGTACCATTTCGTCCGCATTGATAATAACCAACAAGGAAACTTTGAGTCTTTTAATATTGATAATTGCGATTCTTACTCGTATTTTTTATCTAAATTTTTAAATTATTACAAATTTGTGAGTATTCACATCGACTCAACGGGCTTGGCAGTTGCCATTCTAAGAATGGTTCAAAGTTGCGTTGCATGCCATGGTATTTTTTGATGGAATTTTGGGTATCGTAATCCTCATTTAATTAGTTCAATAGAGCTGATTCAATGTGATGCGTGAGATTGCCTCTCCATTGAATAAAAAAAAAACATTTCATTATCATAATTGTAATTAATTACAATAGTGATTGTTAAGAATAAAAATAGGCAAAATACACTTGTATAATAACCATAACTTTCACGTTTGTGACAAATATAGCTATAACTATCCGAAAATACAAAATCCTAAAAATTGGATGGTCGTGTGGCAAATATAGCAATTTTCGTTAGAAACTTTAACAGTGTTAGAAACTCCGTCAGTTAGGTTAACATTAGGCTGACTAGGATACCAAATCATCTCACACATTAGCGAACAGTCAGTATATCATTGCTACGTCATTTGAGTTATAATTATTAATTTGGAAATTAAAAAAAAATACAAAATATTTTTTCCAAACTCTCCTCCCCCTACAACAATCTTCTGTCAAAGATCACTTTCCCTCTCCTCTCCCCAACCACCTCTCCAGCCCCTAAATCTCTAATCCTCTACCTCTCCACCCACCGCCCCGCTCCGCCCTCTACTCCATCGCCGTCTCCACCAGTTGCGGGGACTGCTTCTCAATCTTCGTAATCTTTATCGTGCCCATGAAAGTCGTGGTTGTGGTTTTTACTCTTCTTCTTAATCTTCTTGGGTTGGGTCTTACCGTGATAGTTGTCATCACGACTGAAAAATTGGGAAATCGAGGTTGTGGAAGAAGAGTATTTGGATCTGGGTTTAGATTTGCCGTCGCTGGGAGGAAGGTGAGAACAGGGGATTCAAGTGAAGGAGCTCCTCGTCGGCGAAGGAGAGATGGGCGGCAGTCATGACCGCCTGTGAAACCCTCCCTTCAGCTTTGACTCTGAGCTTACTTTTCCCAACGGGTCTTTGATTGTTCGTGAATGGGATTTCCTGCCACTTCTGTGAATTAGTTCTGCCCTAAATCGCTATGGTAATTTCCCCAAACAAGCTGCAAATCAACAGTACAATCGAACGAAGTTTATTCAACCCAACAACAACAATCATCGATGTTCACGATTTATCTCAGATCAGCTCGTCGACATAGTGAAGGGAATGGAAATAGGAGAGATGGGCGGCGGCAATGGCCAAATGGTGGTCGGATGCTCTGCTTTGATGAGCTGCTTTGAATAAATGGGGGAAGGCTAAGAGAATAAATGGGTGGGTACAGGGTTGTTCCGATTGTAATTTTTTCCTCTTTTTTTTGTTTTTAAAGTAAATTATGAGGTGAATAAGGCTTAATTGCAAGTTTGGTCACTCGAATTGCTACAAAATTTCACGTTTGCCACTCAAATTAATTTATTCCATTTATAGTGACTTAAATTAATTGAACAGTCCAAGTTCGGTCACTCTCCGTTAACCTCCGTTAGACTCCGTTAATGACGACCGTTAAATGATGACGTGGCTAACAGAAAATCACAGTCAACATATTTAACACTAAAAAACGACGACCCAACCTGCCACGTCATATTTACCCGCCATGTCAGCCCTACTTGCCCAACCCGCGAACCAACCTAATAATTGACCCAACCCCAAACCCGAGACCCGACCCCCCTGAATCTTAAAAGTAAAATCGAAACAGGAAAGGGTAGGGCACTTTCCATTCTTTACCACTCACCACCGTCCCTTCCTTCCTCGACGTCCCTCGCCGCCGCCGCTCCCTTCTTCCTCCGTCGCCACAACACCAACAATTTCAAATCGAATTCCCATCATCATCACGCGACCGTCCACACTCTCCCAAGCCTACTACTTGATTAATTGAATCTCTACTCTACAGTTTTGTTGTGTGGTTTACAGATCCGAGCCTTCTCTGACGAAAAGTTCGTTTCTTTCCAGATTCATCGGTGATGGAAGAAACTTTGGTGAGGCCGAGTCCGGTGAGGTCGAGGAGGGCGAAGAACAAAGGACGGAAGAGAAGGAGGAGCAGAGGGAAGAGTGGGGATAAGAGAAGGGCAAGAAAGATTGGGAGTTTGCAGGGCTTAGGATAGGGTCAGTAATCATTGTTTACTGACCTATGAGTAACTAAATTGGAGCCTTTAGATCTAAGTGAGCTAAAAAATCCAGATCTAAGAGTTGTCAATTAAAGACATTTTATTTTCCCTAGTTTTCATAATCGGCTCTTATCTTCTTCGTTTTAACTTGGATTTCAATTTTTTTTGCACACATGGAAAGAGTTCGTTGTGCTCTACAAAATGAGATCAATTTTCAATATATTTCGAGAAACTTTTTTTACCAACTACATACCATATGGTAACTTCTTTGTTTTTAAGTCGTTTTTGAAAACGTTTGCTTAGAAGGAACGAGTTCATCATAATCTATTGGATCTATAAATTTCTGGGTGAACAAAATACTGGACAAAAAATTACCATACTTTACCACTATGGTATGTGGGTGGTAACTTGTAATATTAAATATGGTAATGTTCATACCATCATGGTACGCTTTCTTACCATATGATATTAAATATGAGCATACCATATGGTAATGACTGGTAAAAAATTATTCAATTTTTTTGTACTAAAAATATATCAAAGTGGATATCATTTTAAAGAACACATTTAATCTGATTTATTTGTGCAAAAAAATTTAAATTTTGACTTAAAACGAGAGAGAAATCATCCGTTAAAGATTAAAAGGAAAAGATAAAAGACTTTCCAAGAGAGAGGGGATGCTGATGTCATGTGGATGTGGACAGATTACTGATGGTTACTTTCCATAAGAGTTATTGATCTGATCCGCTCCCAGTTTGCAGAGATTATGGTCGAGGAAAATAAGCAAGGACACGATGGCCATAAAAAATAAAAATTGGGCCGAATTTCAAAATATATGGGGGAGGCCAGTTATTTCTAATTCCGGGGTGGGCCGGATTTCTAAAACCCGCATGAACAAAATCTTGCGTTATTGGGCCCAAACAACATAATTTGTAAAATCTGGGACGGGTCGGGATTTGGCCCAAATCCCTGTCCAGATTTATGGATCCAAACGACCCCTGAGATGATGCACACTTGACATGTCTGCCCACTCAAAAAATGAAGCAAACATAGTAGTAACTACAATGAAACATCAAGATTGCTCTACCTCACCCTTAACTCCACCTGTGCATCTGGCTTGGGCTCGAGTACTCCATCCCACTATCAGAATGCGAGACATTGGATGAGGATACAGAAGAGTCTGAAATCACAGTGAATGTTGGATTCGAACTGGAACTTTCATGCTTGAAACTATGTGAATCTACTATATATGGTTTTTGTGTAGTTGGTGTTTGATGCTGTTGGTTGCTGCTGGCCTTGACCTTGACCTTCTTCAGCGAGTTGCTTTAGAAACGGGAAAAAAGCTAATCGATTAACGTCCAAGTGATGTTAAATTACCAGGTTTAATCTACTTTTGGGCTATGCAATTCTGGCAGGGACTGCATTTTCTAAGATTTGTAATTTAGACTAACCGGGCCATGTCTAAACTCCCCAGCAACACTCTCCAAGAATATAAATAGTTGAATTAAAAAAAAACACTTGTCTGACTAGGTTTCGTCAACGCTAAAGAATATAATTGCCATGCAGAAAAATTCAATACACAATTAACTGTGTTGCTCGGAGAAAGCAGTGTATTAGTGTGGCAAGACATAATGAAGCAGATGATAGAAGGCTCAGTTCCAGCTAGTTGTTTAGGTTATAGGGGTAGAAACATCAGATGAACAATTTTAAGATATCAAAATGACAACAATAGACCCAAGAAAATAGTGGGCGGAATCCAGAACACCTCCAACTTATTGCACAATCAACAGTTGTACATCATGCATGACAACTAATAAGTGAAGGCCACCAACCATCACCCCCATGTCTTATCATGAGAGGTATGGTTCACACCATAGCAAGAGTTAAGGTTTGGCATGGTTAGGCCACCTTGGTGGCCTACAGTATCAAGGCTTACGTCATCCCACGTCCTAAAGAGAAGGGACGTAAGGTTTATAAGTGGTATGATGTACACAACACATCAAAGGAGTGTAGGAGCTCTATGGACTCAACAGTCACACTTATAATCTAGTATGATGAGGTTTCCACAGGGAGTAGTGGGCAAGACTACCAGTTTTGGCAAGACCCTCAGTAATCAAGTCTAACAACTCCAACTTGATAATTGAGCATTTTGTAATTTTATAGCCATGATTGGCTTTTTTAATCAATCAATATTTTTCTACTTTTATTTATTACATATGGCAAGTAGTGACAAGCATCACTGATCTCCATACGCTTTGGAAATAGCCAATGTGCTCAAGGTGTACATCCACTGCCAAGTTCATGAACTAAACTAAACAAGCCAACCATACACCATATGACCATGGTTGTTTAAAGAAGATGATTCTTCACAAGTTGGCTTTGCATCATCTACTTAATCATCTTTCTTACTCTTGTCAAACTTGGGGTTGGGGTGTTCATCCTCGAGCATGTCTTCCTCAATATACTCATCAATCTCATCATCATACTGGTCACCTTCCTCTTCTGCTCCATCTTGCAACCCTTCCTTAGTCTTACCATCACTTTGGACTGGGACATTCTTGCCCTTATCAGTCACTATGACTTTGAGACCTGTGGACATGGAGTTTTCCACCTCGATACTGGTTGGAACATAATCATTCTGTTGTGATGGTCTAACTGTCCCACCAAGTATTACTGAGTATTGCCCCTAACGTGCTTTGGCATTCTTACATAGAAATCTCCTCCTTTGAGTCCTTGTCATCCCTCCTATAGCTATTGGTTGTTGATGATGTATGTCACAAGTATGCCACCCTTCTTGTGGCACATTGAGAATCTTGAAAGTCCTTGTCATGCGAAGAGGACCATGTGCTACCCATTGCCTCCTTTGCCCCCAAGAAACTGTATGACCCCCTCTAATTTTCTTTGATAATGTGGTTATCTCGGCTCCCTATGGAGTGGGCCAAGTATTTGTTTGACTGATTGATTCGGTCTCACTTCATCAAGTCTAAGAAACTCCTGGAGAAGTCAAGAAACTATGAATGTCATCTCACTTAACACCTTTTAAGAGGATCTATTTCGAAAATGAGCACCCGTGTTGGATGAAACAACTAGAGAATTCCAGAAGATTGATGAACTTCAAGATAATTCCTATAAGAATCTATTAAGAGCTCGACCTAGGTTCTCTCACACCAACAAGTATGAAATTTTACTTTGCGAACCAGTCAGTGGGGACATCGATTGAGATTGTGCAGAACATTTTAGTTGTCATAAACTAGTTGGTCCAATAACTCGAGTTGTTGGGAGAAGGTTATGATGGATCTTATACCTCTCTTTTAAACTCCCCCTTAAATGAAATCCAAACCATGGGCTTGAAGTTTGCACAGGCAATCACCATACCTTGTGTTTTAATCAACTTTTACTATTGGGGGTTGTGGAGATTCGAACACAAGACCACTTGGCAAACCAACTGTGATACCATGTCATAAACCAGTTGGTCCCAATAACTCGAGTTCTTGGGAGTGATTTATTATGGATATTATACCACACTCTTACATTAGTAAGGTGTATTCATTTTCTACCCTACTGAATTTGTTATAATGGACATGAAGGGTGACATGAAAGCGTTAATTATACTTGGGTGTCCTTTTCTGCCAACCGCAAAGACTATAATTGATGTGGGTGGAAACTGAATCACATTAAGAATGGAGAAAGGCATATACATTACACTACCACTCCCACTTCCCAACGTCCACAAACTATTTAAGTGGGAGGACATAGCATTCGACTGTGAATCAGTTAGCACTCGACTGTGAATCGCGTCTAAAAACTAGGTTCATTGATATGGTATCCAAGATCAAGCCAAGGGTAGAGTGGGATGTTGAAAAGAAGAATGATGCCAAGAAAATGGTGAACATTGTAGCACTAAGAAGAGGAGGAATTGTTAAAGAGTCTCAAGTGTGTGTCATCCTTGAACGGGTTGAAACGTAGGGTGAATGAGAATAAGAATTTAACCATTTTATTGATAGGACTTGGCATGGCAAGTGTGTGTCACGTGAATTAAATTTGAATGATTGTGAATGCATATATGTGGTTAGGACGTCTTGGTGGGTGATATTTGATTGATTTTAGCTTAATGTCTGCCAGAGCTCCCATGATTCCTCCCTTTCCAGTTTGTTGTGCCATATTTTGTTTCGAGATACATTGACTTGTACCCTCGTCCAACCAGGTCCTTTCCATCAGTGAGGGTTAGGGAATTTGAGCTTGG